GGGTTTTTTTTTTTTTGGGATGCAGGAGCCCCCCGTGGGATCAGGGGGTATTTTTTGGGATGCAGGAGCCCACCGTGGGATCAGGGGGTATTTTTTGGGATCGCAGGGATGCGGAGCCGGGGCGGGGGCGCAGCTCAGCCCCAGAGCCCGAGCACTCCCACGGTCTGGCTTTCCCAGGCAGGCGCCTCAGGAAACTTCTCCGGCTCCGACTGCTGCGCTCCACCTTTTATTCTAATGGATTCCGCATCGCCATAGGAACCCGCTCGGGCGGCAGCGAGCGCCGCCGCTCCCCGGGAGCCGGGGGATGGCCGGGGATGGAGCCGGGAGCCCGGGGCAGCGGCCAGGTACCGATCCCGAGGGGACAGGGACCCCCAGCCCCGCTCTGCCGGGGGGGGCAGCCAGGAAATGTTCCAGGGTGGGTGGAGAGGGCAGAGCAGCCGGGATTTGGGGTGGGCACAGCCTTTCCTGGGGTTGGATTGGTCTGGGAGAAGGGTCCTTGGCAGGGTCGGGGTCTCAGAGCTTGGGATTTGGGGAAATCCGTCCCTGCGTGGCTGGGGCTGGGCTGAGCCTTCCCCTGGGCTGCTCCTGGACGGGATGGGACATCCCAGGCGCTCCATGGGGCTGATCCACTGGGATCTCCCTGGATCAGGGTCCATCTGCCCCACGCTGCTGGATCCAGGCAGGATTCCAGCTTGGGAGAGGGGCAGGAGCCCTCCCATCACCCACAGGCTGCTCCAGCAGGGAACTGCCCCAGCTGGAGAGATCCTGGGAGCAGGTTTGGGATGTGAGGGGACACCAGACACCCGAGGAATCCTGATGGGGCTCAGGATCCTCCCTGGGCATTGTCCGGACCCTCCTGCATCCCTTTGTCCATGCCACAGGGCTGGGGGATGGAGAGGGGCCGGGAGGGAGCCCCTGGGTCCTGCTGGATCCTTGGGAAGGGCTGGCACTGCCCGGTGCTGGCTGTGCCTGCTTCTCCAGGGTGGGATGGATCCACTGGAGGGTTGGGGACAGCCAGGCTGGAGGTGCAGGGGGGGCTCAGCATCCCCCAGGCATGGACAGGGTGGGAAGAAGGGTCTGACCCTAAGGGGGAAGCTGGGAAGGGGAGGTGGATCCTAGTGGATCCCAGTGGGTCCCAGTGGATCCCATGGATGGGATTCCTGGCACGGGGAACACTTTTACTCCTACTGGGCCTGGCACAGGGCAGAGGAGCAGCCCCTGGGGCAGCCCTGAGCTGGGGCAGGAGCAGATTCCAGGGGTAACAGAGCTCTGGGACTCACAGCACGGGGAGACAGGAAAATCAGGATTGTCCCAGCCCCACAAAGCAGGGGAACAGCCCCGTGCTCTGCAGGAGCCTCACACCCTGCTTTGACTGGGGCCAGCTCCGTGCCCGGGGCTTGGATCCCGCTGGAAGTTCAGGATTCCCTGGCACAGCCCCTGGATGTGCTCCAGAGGCTGCCAGGCCCCGTCCCAGCAGCAGCATTTACTGAAAAAGGCAATGCAGGGATTGCAGCTGCTCCTGGGGGGGCACCAGGGTGTCCAGAGGGGCACGGAGCTGCCTCTGTCCCTCTGTCCTGCTGGACACGGCTCAGACACGGCTGGGACACGGCTGGGACACGGCTGGGACACGGCTCAGACACCAGGACCCGCTGCTGAGGAGGTGAAGGGAAGGAGGGAGGGACCCCCATGGCCCTGCCACTGAAGCCTTTCCCCACCTTTGAGGAGTTCAGGCACCAAAAAACTGTGGAAAAAACATTCCGGGGAGATTTTCCAGTGCTTCACTTATGAGGGTGAAGATGAGGGTGGGGAAGTGGTTTTAAGGGAAAAGAGGGGAGATTCGGGGCGGAATGAGGGAGGAATTTGTTAGGATGAGGGTGGGGAGGGGCTGGGATGGAATTCCCAGAGCTCCATCCCTGGGGGTGCCCAAGGCCGGGGGTTTGGAGCTGCCTGGGGCACTGGAAGGTGCCAGGGCTGGCTCTGGATGGGCTTTAAGGTCCTTCCAGCCCAAACCTGGATCCTGCCCTCCATCCCACCTGGATCACACCCAGATCCTGCCTGGCTCCGTGCTGACTCCCTCCTTTGTTCGTAATAAGCATCTCATTAGATATTCCCTGTTCCCAAATTAACATTTAATTCGTGCCTCGTTCCCAGAAAAAACCTGGGCACAGCCTCCTGGAATTGTTGACAGTGATCCTGTTCCTTTGTGAGCTCTGTCCCTATTAAGCAATTTCCTCGCCTGTGTCTTTTGAGTTACTAAGGGAACAGGAATAAAATCTTAATAAAACTCCATCAACTGTTCCTGAAATAACAGCAGCTCCTTGGAGGGGCCTGAGCGCAGGGATGGGGCTCTGCTCCAAATTCCCAGGAAATCCAGAGCACAGAGTCGGGGATGGGTTAGGCTGGAAGGGCCCAAAGCTCATCCAATTGCACCCAATTGCACCCAATTGCACCACCCCAGGGTGCTCCAGCCTGGCCTTGGACACTCCCAGCCACAGCTGCTCTGGGAGCCCCCAGCAATGAAAAGGCAACAAATCTCAAAGGGGAATAAATCCTTTATTTTCAGGAGAAATAGCACTTAATATAAATAATATATAAATTATAGAAATATATGTTTTGTATTAATAACATCTAAATAAAATATAAATATATCTATAAAATAAATTACATATATTAAATATAAATAAATATATTAATATCAATGTGTTAATAATATATAAATCATACCAGGGTTACCAATTAGCAGGAATTATTCGATTTTGTCCTGACTGTGCCTGATCCTCCCTGGATTTGGGCCCTGAGCCATTTGGCATCTCCAGATCCAGGATTTATTGCTGTCCTGAGCACCACAAAGGGGAATTTTTAAACCAAATATATCCATGGGAAGCACACAGAGAGGTTTAGGCTAGATTTAGGATACTGGGGGAATTCCTCCATGGAAAGGGGTGGAATCCCCATTCCTGGGGGGATTTAAAATCTTATGGATGTGGCATCTGGGGAGAGGGTCAGTGCTGGCCTTGGGATTGCTCTGCCTTGCCCTTCCCCATGGATATTGGATATTAAATATTGGATATTGAATATTGGACATTGGATATTGAATATTGGATATTAAATATTGGATATTGGAGGTTGGATATCAGATATTGAATATTGGATGTTGGATATTGGAGGTTGGTTATTGGATATCGGGTATTGAATATTGGATGTTGGATATTGGATATGGGATATTGAATATTGGATATTGGATGTTGGATATCGCTGCCAGGGAGGGCAGGGGATGTTCCTGAGCTCTCTCAGGGAGATTTTGGGCTTTTTTTTCCTGGAGCCTGGATTCAGGCTCCAGGATGCTGCAAGGGGATATTGGGGTGGGTGTTCCAGGGAGGATGGTATGGATATTTCAGGGATATTCTAGAGATTATGGTGTGGGTGTTGTAGGGATATTGATGTGGATATTCTAGAGATTATGGTGTGGATGTTGCAGGGGGAATGGTGTGAATGTTCCAGGGATGATGGTGTGGATGTTGCAGGGATATTGATGTGGATATTCCAGGGATTATGCTGTGGATGTTGCAGGGATGATGGTGTGGATGTTGCAGGGATATTGATGTGGATATTCCAGGGATTATGGTGTGGATGTTGCAGGGATGATGGTGTGGATATTCCAGAGATTATGGTGTGGATGTTGCAGGGGGGACGGTGTGAATGTTCCAGGGATGATGGTGTGAATGTTGAAGGGATATTGATGTGGATATTCCAGAGATTATGGTGTGGATGTTCCAGGGATGATGGTGTGAATGTTGCAGGGATATTGATGTGGATATTCCAGAGATTATGGTGTGGATGTTCCAGGGATGATGGTGTGGATGTTGCAGGGATATTGATGTGGATATTCCAGGGATTATGGTGTGGATGTTGCAGGGGGGATGGTGTGGATGTTCTCCTGAGGGGGTGGTGTCAATGTTCTCCCAGGGAGGATGACGTGGATGTTTTCCCAGGGAGGTTGTCATGGATGTTCTCCCAGGAATGTTGGTGTGGATATTGCAGGAATATTGATGTGGATATTACAGGGACTTTGGTGTGGATATTGCAGGGATATTGGTGTGGATATTGCAGGGACTTTGGTGTGGATAGTCCTGGCAGGTTGTTGTGGATATTCCATGGATATTGGTGTGGATATTGCAGGGACTTTGGTGTGGATATAGCAGGGAGGTGTGTGTGGATATTGCAGGAATATTGATGTGGATATTCCAGGGATTTTGGTGTGGATATTCCATGGATATTGGTGTGGATATTGAAGGGACTTTGGTGTGGATATTCCTGGGAGGTTGGTGTGGATATTCCATGGATATTGATGTGGATATTGCAGGAATATTGATGTGGATATTCCGGGGATTTTGGTGTGGATATTGCAGGGATATTGGTGTGGATATTGCAGGGATATTGGTGTGGATATTCCGGGGATTTTGGTGTGGATATTCCGGGGATTTTGGTGTGGATATTGCAGGGACTTTGGTGTGGACATTCCTGGGAGGTTGATGTGGATATTGCAGGGACTTTGGTGTGGATATTGCAGGGATATTGGTGTGGATATTCCAGAGAGGTTGGTGTGGATATTGCAGGAATATTGATGTGGATATTCTGGGGATTTTGGTGTGGATATTCCATGGATATTGGTGTGGATATTGAAGGGACTTTGGTGTGGATATTCCGGGGATTTTGGTGTGGATATTGCAGGGACTTTGGTGTGGATATTGCAGGGATATTGGTATGGATATTCCAGGGATTTTGGTGTGGATATTGCAGGGATATTGGTGTGGATATTCCGGGGATATTGGTGTGGATATTCTGGGGATTTTGGTGTGAATTTCTCCTGGGTGAGCTCCCGCAGTGCTGGGAATTCCAGAGCAGTCCTGGGATGTGCTGTTGTGCTCCCTGCAGTGGCCAGAGCCCCTGTTGTTAACCCTGTCCCTGTTCTCTCTGTCCCTCTCCCTCGCCTCCCAAAGCCCTGGAGAGCCGGAGCCCAGCTCGGTGACGGGGCTGTGTGGGCACAGCCTGGCCTTGCTCCTGTCCCCACGCAGCTGCAGCCAGGTGGGTGCCCCTGTTCCTTTCCCCCTGCTCCAAACCCTGGGGGAAGCAGCAGCTGGACACGAGTCCCCAGCAGGAACCAGCCCCTCCTGTCCTTGTTGAGTCCATCCTGGGGCAGCTCCAGGCCTCCCTGAGCAGCCCCTGGGTCCCCACAGCTCCTTTTTGTGGGGATCACCTGGGATTTGGGCTTCCAAAGGGTCCCTCAGCACCAGCCTGGGCCTCTCCAGGGATTGCTGGGCATTCATGGCCAGAGGAGCAGCCTCTGCACCAGTGCCTGGAGCTGCCCACCCGCGCCTTGTGCCCTCACCAGTGGCTTCCTGAGCTTGCCAGGAAATCCAGGACTCCCTGAAAACCTCCTGAGCACCTCCCTGGGCCTGTTGCTGTATCCCGTGGCTGGTTCCTCCTCCCCAGCCATCTCTGCTTTCCCCACATCCCATTCCTTCTCCTTCACCATCTGTTTTTCCACATCCAATCCCTCCTCCCTCACCATCCCTGCTTCCCCCACACAATTCCTCCTCCCTCACCATCTCTGCTTTCCTGTAGCCAATTCTCCCTCCCTCACCATCTCTGCTTTCCTCGTGGCCAATTCTCCCTCCCTCACCATCTCTGCTTTCCTCGTGGCCAATTCCTCCTCCCTCACCATCTCTCCATGCCCGTACCCAATCCCTGCTCCCTCACCGGTTCTGCTTTTCCCTCCAGGAGCTCTGGGCTCGCCCAGGAGCCGATCCCGAGGGGTTGCCCATGGAATAGGCGCTTTCCCAGGTGCCTGGGCACGCGAGAGGCTGAAGTTGATCGCCCCGGGGCACCCAAACCCGCCCTGCCCTGGAGCCCCCGGCCTCTGCCATGAATGATGCATCCACCATGGATTATGAACTGCTCTCCCCGTCCCTGGTGGAGCACCCCGCCGGCGCCGCGGGCATGGATGCCGAGCAGAAAACTGTCTTTGCCTTCGTCATCTTCCTCCTGGTGTTCTTGGTGATGCTGATGGTGCGCTGCTTCCGCATCCTGCTGGACCCCTACAGCCGCATGCCCGCCTCCTCCTGGACGGACCACAAGGAGGGCTTGGAGCGGGGCCAGTTCGACTACGCCCTGGTGTGAGGGGAGCCCGGGCCGAGCTCCGGTGCCGCCCCCGGCCCCGCTCCCCCTCCACCCACCCACCCACCCACCCACCCATCCCTCCTTCCCTCCCTCCCTCCGCAGGGATGCTCCGGGCAGGGGGGCGAGCAGGGGGTCCGGCCCCGGGGAGGTTTTCTAGGGCTTTCTCTCTTTTCTAAGCACTTTTCGGTTCTCTCGGCAGCCCGCGGGACGCTGGGGGTTGGACGGGGGGGCTGGACGGGGACCCCGCTGCCCCTCGTGCCCCCGGGCACCGCGGACGGGGCATGGCGGGACCTGCCCTCGGCCTGCGGGGCCCCTGGGCTGGGCTCTGCCCGGTGCCAGGCCCGAGCTTCGACCCCCGTGCCCCCGCTGCCCCCCGTGCCCCCCGGCAGTGCCCCCGTGGTCCAGTGCGTGTCCGTGTGTCCTGTAGCTGAGCTGTGTCCGTCAGGGGTTTCTCGGCACCGGCCCCCAGTGCTGGCTTTGTTCCTCCTCTGTGCCACTCCCGAGCCCCCCCAAAAGGGAGGGGAGGGTGGGGACCCCCCCCGTGCAGCCCCCCCTTGGCTCCAGCCCTGTCCCCTCTCCCTGTCCCTGCCCAGCTGGTGACACTGGGCTGAGCGAGGGGCAGTCCTGGCCTGGGGACACCAGGACGGGCCAGGGGTCCCCAAAACACCCGGGAGAGGCTCCTGGGGCATCCCTGCCGGGGTGTCCGGCCCTTCCCGGGCTCTCCCGGGGCTCTGGAAGGGGCCGAGGGGCTGCCAAGGGCCGTGGTGGGCAGCGGGAGGGTCCCGCCAAGGGATTTGGGCCTGGGGGGAGGGAGAACCTGGCCCCCCTCCATGGAAATAAAGGGATTTGGAAATAAAGCAGCACCGTGCCGACCCCAGCCGGCTCCCGCTCCGCTCTGTGCCGCGTCCCGGGAGGGGAACGGGACCCCCAAAAATGCTGGGGGCAGCAGGAGGAGGAGGAGGAGGAGGAAGAGGCGAGGGGTCACTGCCAGGTGTGACCACCAGGACACGGGGACCCAGCCCGGCCGCCTCCTGTCCCAGCACGGTCCGGCACAAATCCCCTCTCACGCACGGGGCTGTTCCAGGACATTTTCTGGCTGTCCCAGCTCCTGTTTGCCCCCGCCCGGTGCCGTCCCCGTTCCCTCCCGGTGCTGTCCCCTCTCCCTGCCCGGTGCTGTCCCCGCTCCCCGGTGCTGTCCCCTCTCCCTGCCCGGTGCTGTCCCCGCTCCCTCCCGGCCCCGGGTGCCGCAGTCCCGCCCGCCCTCTGCTGGCACCGGGCTCCGTCTGCGCTGGCAGCCGGGAAGAGCTTCCAAAAACCGGGAATATCGGCCTGGAAGGAGCGTCTGGGCTGGGCTCCATCGGCCCCACCGCGGCCAAGCCCACCCAGTGCCAGCCCTGCCATGGCAGGGACACCTCCCACTGTCCCAGGCTGCTCCAGCCCGGCCTGGGGCACTGCCAGGGATCCACAGCTGCTCTGGGAATCCCATCCCAGCCCCTCCCAGCCAGGAATTCCTTCCCAATACCCACCCAAGTTCCCCTGGTCCAGTTTGAAGCCGTTCCCTGTGTCCTGTCCCTCCATCCTTGTCCCCATTCCCTCTCCTGGAGCCCCTTTAGGCTTTGGAAGGGGCTCTGAGCTCTCCCCGGAGCCTTCTCCAGGTTGGAGAATCCCAATTCCATCTCCAAGGAAGCTCCACGCTGGAGGTGGATGGGCCCAGTCCGTGCCCACACAAAGACACAGCTCCAATTAACCCAAAATAATTTTATTGTTGCCGTTGCTTCTGATACAAAAAAGGAATTCCACAAAGAGCCACCTCTCTGTGCGGGACAAGGGGCACAGGTTCGGGGGTTCAACACTTCCCCCCAAAAAAACCAACCAGCAAGAAATGTCAATATAAAACAAATTTAAAAAAAAAAAAAAAAACTAAAAAAAAACCCCAAAAAACAAACCAAAACACCACACCAGAGAGGAGGAGAGGAAACCTTGAGCTTTGAGACTTTGGCTCAACACACGCACACAAACCCAGCTCTGCTAATTTATTATTATTATTATTATTAATACTTTTTGCATTTTGGTTTTTCTTTTTTTTTTTTTTTTAAAAAAAAGCACCTGTTGGAAAAAAAACCAAACCAAAAATAATAATTAAAAAAAAAAAAAACCAAAAAAAACAATCCCAAACATCAGGCCACCCATCCTGTCACAAGCTCTGGGACTCTTGTAAAATCCAGAGTCTGGAGCTGCTGCTTTGAAGAGTTTTCAAGTTTGCCTGGAGCCCCGATACAGTAAACACACACATCCCCCACCCCAGAGAAATTCCCACCCCTCCAAAAAAATGTAAAGCTACAGGAAAATGCACTCCTGACAGCACCGAGCCAGCATTCCTTTGGTGGTTTTCCATAAATATGGGAGGGTGGATGGATGGATACAGTGCAGAACGCTGGCCAGGAACCAGCACCCAGGAGCACCTCGGGCCTGGGGATGAGGCAGTTCCCGGGAATGAGCACCTTTATCCCGGGAATCAGCACCTTAATCACGGGAATGAGCATCTTTATCCCGGGAATCAGCACCTTAATCACGGGAATGAGCACCTTTATCCTGGGAATGAGCACCTTTATCCCGGGAATCAGCACCTTTATCCCGGGAATGAGCATCTTTTATGCCGGGAATGAGCACCTTTATCCTGGGAATGAGCACCTTTATCCTGGGAATGAGCACCTTTATCCCAGGAATGAGCATCTTTTATGCCGGGAATGAGCACCTTTTGTCTCGAGAATCAGCACCTTTTATCCGGGAATGAGCGCAGGGCTGGTGGAGAACTGCAAAGGGTTCCCACAAACCCAGGGAATGGCCCTGCAGGGATCGGCTGGGAGAGGCAGGAGGGGAAGCCCACAGGGGCAGAAGGGGCTGCAGGCACCCCCAGAGGTGCTGATCCCACAGGGACATTCCCCATGGCTGTCCTGGTGGTGGCTGATCCTACAAGGACATTCCCCATGGCTGATCCCACAGGGACAGTTCCCATAGTGGCTGATCCTACAAGGACAGTTCCTGTGGAGGCTGATCTTAGCAGGACATCCTCCATGGCTGTCCCAGCAGGTGCTGATCCCACAGGGACATTTCCCCATGGCTGATCCCACAGGGACATTCCCCATGGATGTCCTGGTGGTGGCTGATCCCACAGGGACATTCCCCACGGCTGTCCCAGCAGGTGCTGATCCCACAGGGACATTCCCCATGGCTGATCCCACAGGGACATTCCCCACGTTGTCCCAGCGGTGGCGGCGGCGGTGGCAGGAGAGGATCCCGTTGTTCCCGGGGCGGGTGGCGAGGGGCAGGGCTGGGGTGGGGGTCTCTGGTGGCTTTAGTAGAGCTGGAGCTGCAGCTTCATCCTCAGTGCCTGGCCCAGCTCCCCCGCCAAGTAGTCGAGGTGGTTGTCGGCCTCGAGTTTGTGCAGTTCCCGCCGGCGGGGCAGGCCCACGCTGACGATCTCCAGCACGTAGGTGCCCGGCAGGATTTTCTTGCGGCCCAGGTGCAGGAAGCTGAGCCCTTCCCTGTGGTGGATGCGGAACAGCCCCTCCTCGTTGCCCTGGGCGATGGCGTAGCGCACGCGGTTCTCCAGCGGCTCCAGCGCCGGCAGCAGCTCCAGGATGTGCTCCTTGTGCGCCAGCTCCGACAGGTTCAGCGCCATGGACAGCGGCGCCTCCACGTCCATGCTGGCCAGGTTCACCGCGTGATCCTGCCCGGGAACAGCGGAATTAACACACCAACAGCAGAGGTTTGTGCCCAAAAAGGAGACAGAGGAGTCCTTCTGACTTTATTCGGATAAAGGGAGAACCATGCTGGCCAGGTTCACCGCGTGATCCTGCCCAAAAACAGCGGAATTAACCCACCAACAGCAGAGGTTTGTCAACTCCCTCTGAGGAACAGCACCATGGAATGCTTTAGGTTGAAAGGGACCTCAAAAAGTCTTGTCCCAGCCCCTTGGGACACCTCCCACTATCCCAAGTTGCTCCAAGCCCTGTCCAGCCAGGCCTTGGACACTTCCAGGGATGGGAAATGTGGGCTCGATTCCTTGGTTTCACAAGGATGGTTTGGGGATGCCAAACCTGGGCAGATAGGGATGAGCTGCTGGCTCTGCCTGGACTGAGGGAACGGGATCCACTCCAGGCCCCTATTCCTGAAGGGACCCAGCCCCTGCCTTGCTCCAGCCCCTCCAGGATGCCCTGGGTTCCTCACCTGGTGCCTCTCTGTGCCGTTGACGCTGCGCCGCTGCCGGCCCCTCTTGGGGTACCCGTTGATCTTGCACTCGTAGCAGGTCTCGGGGGACAGCAGGTTGTCCTCATCCTCCTCCTGGGGCGCAGGCAGGTAGGGACCCTTCCCAAATCCCAAGCCAGAAATGCAGTGGCTGGTGGCAGAAGAGCAGAGGGAATCCATGAATCCAATGGAAATGCCAGCACTCCCAGGTTCTCCATGTGGGAAACACCCAGAGGGTCACGCATGGGTGTGACGTGCCCAAGAGACACCGCAACAAGGTGGTTTCATTAATTAACAGATTAATTAATGCACTGGGTGTATGCACAGAGCGCCTGCTGGCAGCCCTGGGATCGGGCACATGGGGCAGGAGATGTGAGTTACAGGAGCCTCCTCCAGCCAGGTCTCCTAAGCTCTTGGAGCTCCATTCCTCACCCAAGGTAGCTCAGCTGCCTCTGGAGGCATAAAACCAGCAGGATGGCTTCGGTGGCAGTGTTGGAAACAAAAAGGTTTAATAAAAGGCAAAACAACAAACTCACTACAGAGAAAAACTGATCCAGGTGCAGGAAGTCCTTGCTCCTGGTAAAACACCTCACAAAAGTGATTAGTTCCTTTGTTCTCTTCTTTTTTTTTAGTAAATTGCCCAGGTGGGACCTTTTGGCTCTGTCACAGACATCTTTTATGAAAAATCCTTTCCTTAGGATTTTTTTCCTCCTGAGAAGCTGAGAGGCCTCAGGAACAAAATGCAAACAATGGTTATCTGCTGCTGTGGAATGCAACAGGTGCATCTGGGATTGGCCTCATGTGGTTGTTTCTAA